GCCGCGGCCCAACTGTGGGTSGTGAGCTCCACCTTGAGGGCCTCAAAAGAACAACAGTTTTTAACTTTGGGCCGTAGAGGGCCATGGGACCACAGTGATTTTGAATAAGGTGCAATACACTTTCTCATCACTAGTAGAGATAGTGCACCACTCAAATGTTTAACAACCTTTTTTATACGTAGAAGAACCTTAGAAACCTGCCGAGAATGGAAACTTATTCTAAATCAAAATTAAAAGTAGAAGATAAAAATGAAGGTAACCCATTAAAAAAGGCCAAAGTTTGTCACTAATATGAAGCCTCTTGTTCAACCATGCAATTCTTTAAAAGTTCAAAACATTATTAAATACAGTTGCAGATACAGCTATATTTTATACGGAGCCCGCAAGGGGACATGGGGGGATTTTTTTTCCTTTTGCATTCCCACGCAATACCTTTGCGTTCCCTCGCAATACCTTTGCGTTCCCTCGCAATATTGTTTTGCGTTCCCACGCAAAAGATTGTTTTGTATATGAACTTAATTAAATCAGACTTTTATTTTGAAATATCCGGTTACCAAAACAGGATGTGTCGCCACACGTTCATGAAATAGACATTGATGTTGCGTGGCTGTACTGTGTTAAAATATCGGCATATGACATACTTCCATGCGTGGCTGTGTGATATATTCATTCTGAAGCTGAATTAAAGCAGTAGGCTAACTCACTAATGGKGAACATGTGAGTTTGCTAATAAACCGGCAGGCACAACAGTGATAAACTACTTTTGCGAGGGAACACAAAAGGTTTTGCGAGGTAACGCAATACTATTGCGTGGGAACGCAAAAGAAAAAAAAATCTCCCATGTCCCCTCGCGGGCTCCGTAATTTTAATGCACTTTATCAAATTATTTTTTTGTAATTTCTTTTTAAGCATTTTGTCAAAAAGCTGTTGTTACTGTTATTGTTTGTCACTATAAAAAGCAGCTTCTGGTTCTTCCATGCAAAAGTTTAAAAAGGCTTTATT